CTATTATGTTGTTCCTGTAGTTAAGATATATTTTGATGACCTTTTCGATTGCTCGTACGACATTTTTAAAAAATCGTCCAGTTGTCTACACTTGTTTATATTTAGCTGCCCGACATTTACTTCGTTTAAAGACCCTAGCGAAAGATGTTAGCTTTACTTAATATCAAAGTAACATGGTCCTGTCATGACTACCACTCTGATGAGGGATGGTTTAGTTTGTCAATCAGTTTGCAGTTATCTGAAGATTTTCTTTTATATACTCATGCTATGCATTTGAATTAAATTTCCGAACTAAGATCGTGTTACTTAAATCCAAATCAAGAGGTTCAGGGTTCAGAAGGAACAAAATATGTCAGATTGATGTTGACCATTATACTGTCTGTTTGTAGTTTTTATTTCTTTCGGACTGCCTGTTCGGGCCCGGCTACTTTTTGTCGTTTTCAAAGAAGGCCTGTGATCGAAAGAAATCTCTTAGATGTGATCTATAGATTAGTTCTGCCCTGCACCTTTTTCCTTTACAGTTAGTGTCAAAATTCTGAATTGGATCGTAGAAAAACGCTTTAATGGTCTGATATTCATACTGTACAATCTTTGATGATGGATTAAGATATTTAATCCTAGTTATTACTTATTTAATAGATCGCATTGTGATGGAAATCATGTGTTCTCGTACTCTATATTAGTCACTTTGTCCTTAATCCTAGATGTTGTAAAATATTTAGTTTGTTTTAACATTTTTGCAAGAATAGATTAGTCTCCCTGAATTGAAATCGGGAGTTAATCTATATAAATTAATTTAAAAAAAAGGAAGCAACTCACGGTATCACTCTCATAAGAGACATGTTTCATCATTTACCGGAGTTGCAACCAAATATACACAATAAGGTTTGGTACTTTATCCGTACCTCCCCTTTCATAGAAATAATAGCAAAAATATACACCTATCTTTAAGAAATCAACATCTGATATAAAACATTCGATGAACCAAAATTAAAACAATTTTCCTGTTAATAATTTATCTATATAAATTATCCTTTATTGTGAAATGCTTTGAGAGCGTCATAATTTGCTGTGTCTGATCTTACATATCAGTAGTGTGGATCGAACCAAACGTTTGATTTGTTTCTGTTAGTATCTGTGCTTTGTTTAACCACAGGATACTTTTTTCCCCAAATTTTACAGTCATCCTCCCAGACAATTATATTCTATATTATGTTATCTTTTACAGAGTATTGTATAGCTCATCTAAATGGGCCAAGTTGTGTAAAAATCTCAAATTTAATAAATAACATTTTCTAATTGATGTATAGCCAAGACGAGTTCGTTAGTGTTCTCCTTGGTAATTTCATGTTTAATTCCTCTTTAATTCCTCTTTAATTCCTCTTTAATTCCTCTTTAATTCCTCTTTAATTCCTCTTTAATTCCTCTTTAATTCCGTGTGTTATTGTCTGTCTCTCTTGACCCCACCTTAAAGAAACACCGGTTACTGCTAGTGTTAGTAATTTCACACAATGGGAGTCAAGAGGCTTATTTCATCAACCATCTAGTCTGTTAGCACTTGTTTTGGTCAACGGAACAACACAAGTGAAATATGATTCTTTGTTTCTGTTATCAGTGCTTGCTTTTACCTGAGGACCCCAGGCTATTATGTTCATTAATAGAGATTAGGCGGAATGACAGGCTGAGCGCGGCCCAGTTAGTGCGATTCTTTCAATTTTGCCTAGGTCTAACTTCCATATCAGTTCATATCGCCTTTGTGTGTTGTGCACATGTGCCGTTCTTTTATGATATTCAACGATCATTCTGTGGTCTATAGTTCATAATTCGTTCTTTATCTATCCGTCTGCCAATCAAATGTTTTTGTAGTTTGTACAGTGTTGGTGGACAAGTTTTTAGCGTAGGTGTAAAATGATTTGAACGTTTAATATATCTGTTATTGCATCCGGATCACGTATACTTTCAACTTTTACTTTTATGACGAAGCCTCTTGTAGTGAAGGTTTGATCTCAGAGTCAACTAAACCATAAACAGTCTTCTAAGAATAATTAGTTAAAATATAGCTTCACTTATTTGTACTGGTTCCGGCTATCTCGTGTGTTTTAAGTTTCAAATCCCCGTGTTCTGTTCTCAGGAAGCTGCCGTTAAATATTTTGTCTCGGAATTTAATAAACTTCATCTTTCAGTCGTACAATCCACAATATATTTCGATAGTGATACTGACTCTGAGATATATGCTGAGAGCTCGCATTATTTCTTACTATCTAGTACCTGATTATATATTGATATTTACCTGGGATAGGACAGGCTTATGTGACCACTGACACAATTTATATCGTGTAATATCATAACTTTAGAAATCCTTGTATATCCCCTTGCCTGTTCTTTGTCACAAATTTTAGGCAAACAACTGTTTAATCCAAATTTATTGTTTCGAATTCGAATTTGCCACTCTTGCAACTCCTGTAACTCATAAATTTAATGAGGGACACCTGCCAATTTATCAATATCGATAAAAAAATATAACATTTGTTTGCTCGCATTATTTCTTAAGTTCTTTATCTTACTATCTCATGCCTGATTATAGACTTTGCCACCTAATAGTCCTGTTTTTTACACCTGTTGTTTTTGTACGGCGCCACCGTAAAGTTTTCCACCGTAGAGTCTTACGCCATAGATTCCCAGACCCACTTACATTCACCGTGTAGATCTCCTGTAAGACTAAGACTAAGAGTAAGAACATTTTAAACTCTGTTACCATTGAGACAGTTTCAAGTAGAACGAGTCACCGTGTAAAATAAACCGTACTATTATAGCTGATCATTGGCTGTTTATGACATAGAATACTATTCACCGACGTTTTTAGCAAACTGCGATTGTCATGACTACCTCAGTACCTCTCGATCCTCGTTATAATTAACATTATTATCTTGCTATACGTGGTGTTGGCTTTTATTTTCCGTTTCACTTTTGCAATTTCATCTATTTTGTCTTGGTCTAACTAGTGTGCTATCGTATCATGCTATCGTACCATGTTAGTTTACAATGCTTTTAGTCATTAGTGTCGCTCTTTTGTGATATTTAATGATCAATCTGCAGCACTTAGTTCTCTATTCATCCATCTGCGAAGAACATATTAGCTCACTTTTGATTATTTGAACCTTTGGTTATTGGTACATCTGTCAGTGTCAATGCAATCACGTCTACGATTTACTTTATAACGAAGCATCCTTCATCCTAGTTATCATAGACATTAGACATGGAGTAAATTAAACTGACTCTACTAACAATCAGGTAAAATATGACTTTACGTATTTGCACTGGTCCCAGTTATTTCGTGTGTTTTAAGTAGCACATCCCTGTTTTCTGTTCTCTGACCGATAGACTTAATAAATCAATGTGTGATTATTGTTTAAGAAAGTTGCCGGTAAATATCTTTTATCGGAAAGCCTGATCATTAAGTTGCACTATATATATAGATAGTGTTACTGATTCTGAGAAAGAATAAGGCATAGAGCTAGCATTATTTCTCATTACCTCATACCTGATTAGGTTGACATTCACCCGGGACCTTAGTCGTGCTCAATGCTCTTTGACACAATTTATATGGTGTCATGTCATGGTGTCATAGGATATTGGTAATTTCTTTATTGAAAGTCTCGCATTGTCGTCCTCATTTTGGCTTCATCTATCCATCTTAAACTGCCAAATATAAAATCATGGAGTTTAACATGCAATTGCGTACACACTTAAAAATTCTCGTTAATCCTCACATCTGTTCTTTTTCTCAAATTCTAGGCGAACAACTGTTTAATTCAAACTACTGTTCAATCGAAATCGAAATTTTAATTCACATTCTTATTTGCCATTTCATGTTAGATATAATATAAGTAGCAGTGGACGATTTCCGTTACCTCAGCTCTGTAGTCTGTAATGTACTCTGCCAATTGCAACACTTGACTAAATTTATTTTATATAATTATACTGTTTGACACTTTTATATAATTTGCTATTTTAATTCTTGAAACTGTTGTAAATCTTGTTACTTTGTTACCCTTACGTATGCTATTTATGACAATCTTCTACGGTAAAATCGTTATTATCACTCCAAGCCTTACTTGGTAACACTGTCCAACCTTCTTCTTCATATTACTACAAAGCTGTCCTCAATAACATAATATAGTTTTCGTCAGTCTCACTCAGAACATTTTTCTCAGGTACACATTTGTTTACACTCATTCTCAATGTTTGGCCCTTAAATCTTCCCCTGTACATTCAACAAATATATCCCGAATAAGGTGTCCACTATATAGTTACATAATATTATGTTGTGATCAATGATCGCGTTGTTTATCGTGAGTTGGCACTTGATGAATGTATAGTAGTGGGCCAATCAGGTTTATCAGCGTCTTTATCAACGCACTGTTCATTATTATTCTACCCTGATTCCGGATTCGCTATATAAGGATTGAATGGAAAAAAGGCAACCGCCCTGTGTAAACTATTTGAGCTCAATTAAAATGTAATAGCGTGTACATGGTTAATACTTATAGAATGGTGACTGGTGAGTGTGATAGCTCCTTCCGCATAATATAAGATGAATCTGAATATTTCAAACTCTGGTTACCACGGAGACAGTCTCAAGTAGAACATACACGAGTTGCCGTGTCAAATTAACCATAATAATTCAGTACCATTATCATTAGCGGTTTATGACGTAGCTTATATCAGCAGCGATGTTTTTACTGCTAGCTTTATTGTTTTCAGTTGTCTCATTTATTTCAAAGGTACCGTACGCGTACCGGCCTTAACTTGTCTTTAACTATAAATTTAACGATATACGCAGTCATTTTAGATGTAACTGCACATGCTGCCATGCTGGTGAGAGTATAAAGATGTAACAAGCTTCGACGGTAAAATCGTTATAATCACTCTAAACCCAGCCCAACTTGGCTATACTGTCTAACCTTCTCCTTCATATTAATATATAACTGCGAAGCTGTCCTCAACAACATGATATAGTTTCCTCTGTCTCACTGAGAAATTTTTCTAGGTAAATTACATAGCCTTCCTTGCTATATGATATAATTTATCGTGAGTTGGTACTTTATACATGTATAGGGTGTAGTGGTCCAAAAGTCAGTGGGTATATGTTGGCCTCAATTGCTCCGCCGTGTTTTACATTTGAGAACTGTAGCTTTGCAGATGTAATGCCATATAACTGTTTTTACCATGGTAAATGGTTCGACGAGATTCCGTCGTCGAAATTTATGGTTTTGCATATTTGCACAGTGGAACTATCAGGTTTATTAAGTATCAACGTCTTTATCAACGCAGCTGCGCATAATTATTCTACTTAGTTTAACTCTCTTTCTATTTTAGCTGAATTCCATTCCCTCCCTCTTCGAGATGATTGCTTCCGTCAATTGCGAAGGACTCGCTCAAGGTAAGAAATTGACTCTCACGTATTTTTATAAGTTCAGATTAATCGTTTTAGCGATATAATATAATACTAAGACAAAAGTTCCGATTTTATGCGAATATTCAATTTATTTGTTTAGAGTTTGCCATGAATAAGTATTAAGTATTTGTTAATGTGGCGGCTAGAATAACTAGATTAGCCATCTTGAGCTATGATTTATCATGAAATACTTACAATTTCGACAGTTGCTTTTTAAACCTTAACTCGATAATTTTAGATAGAGAGATAATATTAAGACGAGCGGATCGATAAATCGAAGAATTAATTCATAAACTCGATTGTGTTTCATATAGTTTCATCTGCAAGATGGTAGACTTCTTCACTTCTCAGTTCTCAAAGCTCGACGATCTTCATATTATATTATACTTATAGGATAAAGGTTGTTATTTTATTTTTTAAATTAAGTACATTCATTTAACAATTCACTTTATTTGATAGCTTCTTTTGATTAACCCCTCCAAGCTCGATATTATATTTTATCATTAATATTATCTGCCATTTGTTCAATTAGTTACATTTCCAGGGTCAAATTACAGATAGTAATTGAGAGCGGCTTTAGAAATCAGGGAACGTGACCTATACATAGCATAGATTATCTCTTAATCAGGTAACATGTTAAATTGAGGGTAATTGTTACAATCTCTTAATGTGTACGGCAGATTATATCGTTAGTCATAACAAATATTTGTCCACCTACATGTTTACAATTGGCCCTTACTCACACATATAACCAATACTCCACACTTTCCTGTTACTGGCGACCCCAGGCTATAATTATCATTAACATAGACATTCGGTGAAATGAAAGGCTGGGCGCCACCCAGTCTGAGGGTTACTGTGCCCAGTAACTCCACCGTCTACACGTGCGCGCGGCTCTAACCGTGCTTCAATCGAAGCAATGCTAATTATAGTGGTTACACTCACAGTCACACACACACACACACAGAATAGTAAACCTAAGAGTTCATGAATCCGATATTTTGGAACAGTAAGACAGAATTGAGACAAATTTGGAACAGGCTTTTGGGGCAGTAGTTATGCCTGGACTGACTTAAAATTGATCTGGTATAAGGGGCATGGGAACTAACATGTTCAGTCACTGATCAGAAGTGCCAAATGATCCCCTGGTTCATGAAATGAACGAAATGAACAAAAATGAACTTTCCATAAAATCGCCTGAAATGAGTTGAAATCAATCAGAATCGATTGGTATTGATACTAGGAGTATTCCTGAAAAGTTTGGAGGCTCTAGCATGCTCAGAAAGGGCTCTAAGGGCAATGTCCCATTTTGGTTTCAGAGTAGTTGAGATTTTGGAACTGGATTGAGACAAATTTGGAACAGGCTTTTGGGCAGTAGTTATGCCTGGACTGACTTAAAATTGATCTGTTATGGTAGAGGGGCAATGGGCATGTGAACTAACATGTTCAGTCTCTCAGAAGTGCCAAATAATCCCTTGGTTCATGAAATGAACGAAATGAATAAAAATGAACTTGATCCTAAAATCGTTGTAATCACTCTAACATCTAAACCCAGCCCAACTTGGCAACACTGTCCAACCTTCTCCTTCATATATGATATAATTGCATAATTCTCCTTAGTAACCCGTCCCCGTCGCCATAGTTACAGACGTAAACAGGACATGAGTGGAATATCGTTCATAAAAGGCTATAAGCAAGCATACTAACTAATCCGCTTTACCAAGGTGTGTCATATAATGTACATACAATTATTTACACGCAATATTTGGCGCTTAAATCTGCCCCGTACATTCAACAACTATATTCCGGGCGAATAAGGTGTCCACTTCATAGTTAAATATTGTGATCATTTAGTCGCGTTGTTTATCGTGAGTTGGTACTTGATGAATGTATATAATAAGGGCGGGCCAAACATCAGTTGGTATACGTTGGCCTCAATAGCTCCGCCGTGTTTTACATTTTACTGTAGCTTTGCAGATGGCATATAACTGTATTTACTATGGTTCGACGAGATTCCGTCGTCAAAATGTATGTTTTTGCATATTTGTACAGTGGAACAATCAGGTTTATCAACTATCAACGTCTTTATCAACGCATTATTATTCTACTCAGTTTAACCCTCTTTCTATTTCAGCTGAATTCTGTTCAACGAGTACAGTATACACAAGACAACCTCAAGAAAGCTTCTAGACTACTCCGCTTACTGTCACAACACTATGTAAGTTCATAATTTTACGAATTTAAGAATTATAACACATTTCTTTCTTATTTAAATACCTGAACCTTTTTCTATTGAAATCTTCTATATTAATCAATTGTATTATATTTATATAATATACAGTGCAGTATACACTATACATTACACAAATATGTTAACTCAAGGTAGTAATCAAGTTTTAATTTATGGACCGAACTGAAAATGTATCAAAGGTAAACAAAGGATCCATACCCCTGTTGCCAGAAATAGACTTTAATAACACTGTAAAAAACGTACTGTGCAGAATTTGGGCTCAACGTATTTGAGCATACAAGATTTAATATATTATTTGAACTTAATCTAAAATCCTCAATCTAAATAGTTTCTCCAAAATGTCTTATTTAATTAATTACCATTAAGTAAGTATACATTCAATTTGAACATATGATTTATAATATATCCAAACAAATGTGTAATTCACCGGTTGACTCATGATTAGGTCTCCGCTATTTTGCGATATGGACACGTTCATTTGAGTTTGAGGATATTGGTAAACAAAAATAATAGCGTTTTCGACGATAGTGGCTTAATTTGGGCATTTATTAACCTATCACGTTCAGAAGTTCTGAACATTAGCCACGTAACCCATACTCCCATATGCACTGCTCAGAAAGAAAATCTATTGTTGTTAGGCACTATAATGTTTCAAATGTCACATTTTGTGTGACTTAGTTAACTGCAGTTGTCTAATTATCATTCCTTGGTCTGAAATATAGTAGATTAGGTCAATCTAACAATTATGATACAACATTGGTTAAAGGGCACGGATCGAACGGTTACAAGGCAATATTCGGGAAACTTTGTCACACTCAGAATACCATACCTCTATTCTACTGTGAGGTGTCCTCAAAACCCTTTTAACTCATTATTTGATGGTTGATCTACCAATCATAGCCCTAAAATATGTTTTTTTCGAATAGTTAGCTAATACAGGCACTTGGTTATTGGGAAATAAGGTTAATTCTGTCACAATATATGGAATTTTAAATTTTGGGCGAATTATTTATATCTGATTTTGGTTTGAATGGCGGGAAAACTTTATATGATGACAATGTAGTTGATGCAAGTTAAGATCAGTTGATGTTTACATTGTCACAAAAAATGATACGAAATCGTAAATAGGTTAAAAACCATGATTATAGAATGAAATAGTCTCTTATAATAACTCTTATAATAACTGATGTGACAAAGTAAACATGTCTTGCCCCTATTTTGAAGATCTATATATTCTATAACTCTATTAGAATTCAACATTCTTTAAGAAAAAAAATTGGTAGAATATTGTCCAGAACATCAGAGCTCAAGTTTAACAATTTTAGGTTAAATTTGTCAAAGTCACTAAAAATGTGACAAAATTAACTTTTCCTGCCCCAACAATTTCAAGATAGTGTGTTAAAATTGTCATAGGGTGCTTTATTGCCTATATAAATCGATCCAAACTACGAAAAAGATCTGTTAATCTGATGACGATTACCTAACTCTTATAATAACTGATGTGACAAAGTAAACATGTCTTGCCCCTATTTTGAAGAACTACACCTCTATTAGAATACTATGTAACTTTATCATCAACAAATTGTCGATAAACTAGTGATTTTGCCAGCAAGGAGCTAACAGAGTTATAATATTTTTTTGTGACGAAATTACCCTATTTTTGATCATGTTGCGGTAGTTTAATTGTGACACTGTTAACATATCACCACCCGATAATGATTTGTGTGACTGGTGCATGGTACTAGCACTAGCAGTGTTGTTTGATCCATAGTGCGTAATATAAGGGGTTTAAGCTGGTATATCATTATTTGTTCAATTTCACACATGTTCAGATATCATCAAGATTATGTGACAAAGTAAACGTGTTTGTGCCTTCTGTATTTTAATCCCTTACGACTATATGATATAATAACAATTCCTAGCACTTCCAGGCCATCAAATAAACCTACACTACTCAGCATTGCTTGTCAGGGTGCCCTAAACATTCTTTACATATTTTCTTAAATGTGTGACAGAGTAAACCTGAGTGCACCATCTAACGAAAAAAGTTGTCAAATATGTAGGTAATAGTCATATGTACCCATCCAATCAACTGGACACTCAAAAATTTGGTCAAAAACGGCAGCAAGGGGTCCATATTTACTCCGTCACATGTTTAAAAGGTGACAATGTAACCATTTCCGTGCCGGCCGTATTTAAGCGATATCTTATCACCTGATTAAGATATCGTTATGTGACAAAGTTAACCTAGAGGATGAGACGATTATCCTAACCATCAAGGGTTTGTGTAATTTCATAGTGTGACAAAGTCAACTACACTGTGCCTTTTAATAGGGTCACTTATATTTACCAATATCCTCAAACTCAAATGAACGTGTCCATAAACGAAAATTGAGACGAGGTTACTTAAAATATATCGTTAGTTATAACTAGTATGTCCCTCTTCACCCTGTCACTCAGTCCTGGCACGATTCCTTCAATATCTTCCAAATTAAAAATATGTCCGCATTCATTTGTGAGAAGTTTAATGACTCCTTCCGTGAGTTCACAGTCCAGAAAGGGTCTGTTGTCACTATAGGACGTCAGCTGGCATGCTAACGCTTTTGCAAAGAACTCCCTATCTTCTTTCGTCACTGTGCGTCTAGGTTCTGGAAATATTATGACTGATATTGCTGATTCTTCACCACTCGCAGGAGCACAAAGTTAAATTGTTGTTGTTGTTATCATTACTTTTCGATAAAAGCAAAAAAGCACAGTTTAGGCATGAACGTTACAAATATTACATGTGATTTAAAACATTCGGTACTAAGTACTCAGTACTCACGCATGTCTACATCCGACCTCCTCTGCTTGTTATTCCGTTCCCGGAGTCTTTGAATGAGTGGGTCTTGGGAAGGTCTGCAAACATCGCAGCAAGTATCGTTATAAACGTTGTCATGCAGCTTGAGTACCCCTGATGACATTTATGTCATCGCATTGAAATGGCTAAAATTTGTGATTTCAAATGCCGTTGGAGAACTTAAAGTATTTGCCAACTAATAAAGGATATTGAATTACTTTTTCAATTGTAGGACTACGTGGAGCTGTTTTACCTTTAAAGGTACCAGAAAGTATTATCCTACGGCAAGTTCCATTCTGGTCGCGGTACATAAGACACTCTCCGTCCATATCCCTGGTCTTGTTGTGCGTAAATACAATACATATCGCCTTTAGATTTGCACTTCTCCCAGCCCGACCTGAGATTAAAAAGCAACGTTTAAGACAATTAAGCTCGTTAAACCTTTAATAGAGGTATATGTGCAGAGCGCTCTATAAAATTATTACAAATAACTTAATTGTTTCACATTACCCACCAATCATCTGGATGAAATCCTCTGCCGTACGAGCCATTTTCGAATGGATGACGTATTGGATCCCTAAAGAATATACATTTTTATCAAATTTACTATTAACCGTGTTTAACACAGAGAATCCATTTGTTTGAAATAGACTGTTTAAAGGTGTTTAAAATAGTCTTCGATATACTTGGTGCCAAACATAGTACATACCTGCTGCATCAAATCCCATAGATAAGGCACTTGTAGCTATGACGAATTTGATACGCCCATTGATATTCATTAGATCAGCCGCTATTTCTTCCTGTTTACTGTCTGGTATCTGGGAGTGAAATACTTCAACAAGACTAATTTTCCTCGGATCCTTTTTGAGTGCCTGAAATTAAGAAAATGTCACTGGTAATTGGTAAATAATGAGTTCCGTACACAGTTAACTTTAGTTAAGTCGGTAGATGGTTTAAATGCTGATAATCCGGCACAAAAAGAAATTTTTAAACAACAGTTTAACAAGTTTAAGTATGAACAAGTTAAATGGTTATGTCAGTCTTCAATATTTTATATCCCATATAAGCTAAACATGTGGCCATAAAATGAATTATTTAAGGGGGGGGGACAATGGATATTTTTTTGTGAAACTTGATTTCGAGATAGTAGTTGACCAACAAACTAGGACCAGTGACCGAACTTTTGAGGGGGTCCCGGACCCCAACCGCCAAACGGTGCCCGCGGGGCAGCCACGCCCATATTTGGTCCAAATTAGGCCCAATTTAGCCAAATACCCTCAACATGCCCAAAACCCAAATTTTAGGTGCTCTACTTGTAGCTAGTGGTCTCCTGAACTCGTATATGAAATTTCATCAAGATTGGACAAAAAATGACTGAGTTATTTATGGGCCAAACCCATATGCCCATATTTGGGCATACCCACCAAATTTGGTAGATTTCGTCCCATAAATTGAGCAAATATCAATATTTTTGAATGAAACTTACTTTATAAGAAAGGTAAGCCTAAACTACATATTCTCTGTAAGTCATAGCTTTATATCTGTTTAAATGTGGATACTAAGGCGAAAAGACCACAAAAAATGAACTAAATTGCCTGTATCTTGGTTCGCGATATTCGCGGAATTGATCTCATTAAAATTGTAACAACTCAATCAGTTTTCAATATTTTTCCATGAAATTTTCGGAATCGACTCGAAGTCGCATTTCCACCTTATTTTGAGAACGAATTTTTGATTTAGGACTCAAAAAAAATTTGGCGGCCAAATTCTGAATTTTTCCGGGAGAATTTTGGAATTTGGCCGCCAAATTTTTTTGGAGGCCTAAATCAAAAATCTGTTCTCAAAATAAGGTGGAAATGCGATTTCGAGTCGATTCCCAAAATTTCATGGAAAAATTTTGAAAACTGATTGAGTTGTTACAATTTTAATGAGATCAATTCCGCGAATATCGCGATCCAAGATACAGGCAATTTAGTTCATTTTTTGTGGTTTTTTCGCCTTAGTATCCACATTTAACCAGATATAAAGCTATAACTTACAGAGAATATGTAGTTTAGGCTTACCTTTCTTATAAAGTAAGTTTCAATCAAAAATATTGATATTTGCCCAATTTATGGGACGAAATCTACCAAATTTGGTGCGTATGCCCAAATATGGGCATATGGTTTTTGGCCCATAACTCAGTCATTTTTTGTCCAATCTTGATGAAATTTCATATACGAGTTCAGGAGACCACTAGCTACAAGTAGAGCACCTAAAATCTGGGTTTTGGGCATGCTCAGGGTATTTGGCTAAATTGGGCCTAATTTGAACCAAATATGGGCGTGGCTGCCCCGCGGGCACAGTTTGGCGGTTGGGGTCCGGGACCCCCTCAAAAGTTTGGTCACTGGTCCTAGTTTGTTGGTCAACTGCTATCTCGAAATCAAGTTTCACAAAAAAATATCCATTGTCCCCCCCCCCCTTAAGTATGTGCACAATCAATCATATTAATTGTATATATGCTGGCAAATAACCATTTTTACCTGCATGAATTCTAAATATCTATATCCGCAGTCAACCAACGAGTTTTCGAAGATTATCACCCTGGGACACTCTTCTGCTTCATTCTCAAGTAAGGACACCAGTGGTACTATGTCTAGCTTTCCCGGGATATTAATTAAAGAAATCCTGCTATTAACAGGATTTTGCGAGATTCTCATCAACTGATGCAACATTACAGAAAGTGTCACATATGCTCTAGTTCTTTCTAAATGTTAAAGCAGAGAAATCTGGCTATACAATATATTTATCAAATAAATGTGTAATAACAACAGATGTATACAATTACTGCAATTCTAAAAAATTTAAGTTTACATTAATGTGCTGATACGATACACTCCAAAATATTCCTAATTTTGTGTTGTTATCATAATCCCATTCCGCAGGGCACAACACCACAACTTCAGAAGATGCAAGGAGCGTGTTCTTAACTCTCCAAAACGAAGGTTGGTGAACAATAGAAAAATTGATATTTTGTTGGTTGGCGTTATCATGGTGAGAAACCAGGGGTATTACGAGATATTATAACGTCCCGAAGGTCATTTTAATTGTAATATTTATCCAATCTAGTACAATAATGTAGACCAAGGAATACCGATAGGGCAGCTAAGTAATTAAGTTTTCAAACTGGGGCGTTTTGAACATTATAGTACCTAACCACAAATGTTTAAAACTTCCGAGAATGGGCAGTATCGAGATAGCCCGACCACTGTCCGCGGACAGTTGTCCGCAGACTGTATAATAACAGTATCCCCTGAATCAAGCAAACAGGTGTTTGTGAATAGTTCAAAATAGATTCAAATGTGGTCTCTCGGATATAATTAGTTACTAATAATATTGATTGCTCAATGAAATAAATGATTACGATTAAAATGTGGTATATAAGTCGTTCGTTTTTGGTGAAGTATTATCAGTTGCCATCATCAACAACGACAACTATTCCAATTCCTGACATGGTACTCTTCTGTCTAATGGACGAAATTAATGGACCCACCGCCTCCCTCGAGACTTCCTATTCCAGAAAAACCTCCTAAAGAGCTCCATGTCCTGTTCTGGGTGTAATGCATCTATGTCCCTGGTTCCCTCCTCGTCCTCGAAGTCTCCAGATGGCCTGATATGGCGCTGCTCCCCCTGCAAGAAGTACAAGAATATCAGAACAGACAGCATCCTCTCTGGACAGAAGCTCGCTCTCAAGACCTTCATACAACTGCTGTTCGCAGAGTAGGGCTGAGTTCATCCGTTTCGTTTTCTCTGAGACCATAGTTGTAGTTGTTCAAGAAGGAGTTGATTATAGAAATGATTGATGCAGTCTGATAATAGTTATTCTTTATATATTGCATGATGTGAACTGATCTCGTAAGGTTGCTTAATCGTTTAATAAGCCTTGACACCACCGCTGATTGAAATTCGCGTGCGATGATGTGAACCCTGCTTGACTCAGGGGATGATGTGAACCCTGCTTGATTCAGGGGATGATGTGAACCCTGCTCGATTCAATGATTCAGGGGATGATGTGAACCCTGCTTGATTCAGGGGATACTGTTATTATACAGTAATATGATCTGGTAGACAGGTGTCTGCGGACAACTGACCGCGGACAGTTGTCCGCGGACAGTGGTCGGGCTATCTCGATACTGCCCGAGAATGTTGGGTTAATACAGTGGGTGCTTAATATGTTTACGGCATGTCTAAATAAGAGAGTTTGAATGCATGTCACGTGATATAGTTAACAGTCAGTGTAATTACGAGTCAGGGAATGTGTCTAGCTATACAGGGCCCTTTGGTGTATTTGTAATAAATTTTTTAGTGACGTGACACCTCTTAGTAATAAGTAGTGACGATTAACGGGACAAATTATGGTTAATTTTCTAAAAAACTAGCAAATATGTCACCTTTAGATAAAAAAAGGACCCACGCTCAAACATTTTTCGAGGTACGTTAAGCGCGCGCACCGCAGTTCCTTTTATATGATTATGACGTATCGTCTCGGTTTAACAATCATAACGTGATCACGTACTGTACGTGACGTATAATCTTACTTATTTAGTGAACAAAGAGTGTGAGAGAGTGTGAAAGTAAAAGTACTATACTATACTGCGAAACGGACAAATTGGTTTAGTCAATAAACTGGGATGAACCGCTTTTGGTGTTACGCCTTACGGTCAGATAAATAAACTACTGTATTCTGGTCCCAATAGTTTACTGTGACTTTTGAGTTGAAGATTAGGCGTACATCATAATGTCCCTAGTGTTTTGTTTAGCTCACCAAGGTTTAAGGACTATTCGAAAGTGAGGGATTTTACTAAGAAGAAGCAAACATCGACCAATAGCTCTTATTAATGCTATTTGTTTGTTTAAAAGGCGAAATGTGGGATTCTATTCGCTTTAAATCCGGTTCCATAATGATACTTGACTTAGTGCGGCTTTGATGTCCGAGCAAAGCTATTATAAGTTAAACCTTAGTTTGTTAAAGTTGGCGGTTTTTCAAGAATCTCCGCCATACTGTCCATATCTCAGTTCTCGATAGGCGTAGAATCGTATCATACTGATAACTGATGTTGTGAGCAAAAACAACATAACCCCTCCCGCCTTGAGCCTTCCTGCTCGATATTATAATATTATATAAATTAGTGCTATCCCCAGATGGGTTTAAAGCTAATGGTGCTACTAATAGTTTTGCCTTTGGTATTTGAGACGGGTTTTGAGAAAATCTCTCTAAACAGGCATATTTACATGTTAGTGTGTTACTGAAATCTGTAATCTTTTCGGCAAATGCCAGCTACTGTAATAAACCAGAGTTATAGCATATATTCTAAGATGACACTTATACGCAGCTCTGAACATCATACATTCTATTCAACTGTAATTATAGTGTTTAGAATTTGTATAATGTACTGGCACGTCTGCCAGCTTTATTCTGACACAATAGATATAAATCACTCTACACGACACCGGAACTTCGATATGTTCCTAAGTTATAAGTTACGTGAATTTTCAAGTGCATACGGTAAAGTGATCTTTCCTTCAGTTACGCAATTAAATAACTATTCGAAAACTGAAAGACTAGTTGTTCCCCTTGAAGATGTATGTACAGTAAAGCTTTGAACCCCGGCCCAAATTAATATCGCCTCAATCGAAAGTTGCTGGTAACAACTTATAAGTCAGTCTGATATTTCAGTCTCGGTGTAATTTTGTGTCGCCAAGCAAGGATAAATATACAGGGGGGAGGGGGGCAAAAGTCCTAATAGCTCAGTCACTGAGTGCCCAATCGAAATAATTCAATCGCATTACATTTGTCCTGAAAAAAATGAGAATTCTGGTTTCTCATATGACCGAGATATAATACTATAATATCTTCGCCACAGTATGCCATCTGCAAAGCAACAACCCTCTAAAATAAGACACGACGTTGGTATAAGACCCAACTTATGCCCACTGACCAGAGCTGGTCCAGATTCCAGAACTCAGAAGTCGATGGTAACCCTCCTGTTATGAGAGGGGGGGGGGGGCAACGTAGAATTCTACTCTACTTTATTCTACTTTATTCTACTTTATTCTACGTTCCCCCCCCCCCCCCCCCTATGAGAATATTCTCTAGCTGCTGTACGCTGCTTAGGATTTGTTTTTGTTCAGGGGCAGGCTTGTCACATAGGTCCAGGGCTTCCGGACTTTTGGGCATGGTGCAGGTTGTGGTACACACTCAACTAGGTGGTCTGAGAGTCGGAAAACCTCCAAAAAGAGATGTCATCAGAATGTAAGCCACTACCTGACTAACCTGTGAATAGAGTTTTCTAGACTCAATAATCATGGCAGGTAGTATCTTCGGTGCGTTGCTGAGATACCGATTTAGTGAGTAGTAGGATGGTCATCAAATCAGAAAAGGCAGACCTGAGTTGATAGCACGGTACTTGTAACGGTTTCCTCATTCTGCTCTCAGACTGACTAATGTCTCCACTTTTTTATCTCCTGTTAAGATTATCATTTCTCCGCTGTTAGGATTGTTCAATTATGCTTTTTATTTTGGACACACCATTGAGCCAGATTGTCGCAGCGTATGTCAGAGAAGTTCTGAGTATAAATATTATATAGGCTTATTCTGTCACAAACAATGAATTATTAATCTCATTTGCCCTATCCCCAAGTTCTGATAAGTCTACAAAGAAGATCAGTAAAAAATAACTGGGATATCATTACAGTTATTAAAGTTCCGATCGATGCTATTAGCCCAAATGAATGGGTTTTTAAATAGATTCTAAACGAACACTTATTCTTTCAGGAGGGGATCTGCAATAAACAAAGACGATATATTTTTGGCCAGAAATTTGCGGAGTTCCTTCGTCTTGATATCGGTCTTGGCTGCAGTTGTATCTCTCGAAATCAGGTATTCACTATTAAAAGCTATCCTGCCTGGCTTAAATCCTGGTTGTTAAAATTAAAAGCCTTTTTGCATGGTCATCTTTAATTAAAAATAAATCAGCTTTGTTAATAATTTACTGTCGTCTCCTTGGTTGGAAGTTGGACATTTTCTCTCATTTTCACACGTAGAATCTTATTTTCTTTCCCTCAGTGACGGTTTGAGGAGACACTGCATCTCACTGCTCGGTGGAGACACGGGGATATGAAGCTGTTAATCCCTCTTAAAGTCCACTGCACGTTGTCACAGAGCCTCAGTCCGATCAGAGCAAGCAGCAAAGATCAAAGGAGACTTTTCCTCCAATGTCAAACAGATAAATTTCGACAGAAAACTTCTAGCAGACCTCGGATGATTTAGGAAAGTAAACATACTTGCAATCTGTAAGACAAGTGACTCTACAGGAACTAGCAAGAGGCAGAGAAAGTGAAGAAGATTCGACGACCGAAGCCTAGCAGATAAAATAATAGCCGATGAATTTGATACGACATCATAAAATACTGGAGTCCACAAAGGAGCATGTCCTACTTTTCAGCCGCTCCTCAATCGACAGATCCTCTTGATGGCTTGCAGACATCACGTCCTTGAGGCGGATCTTGTAAGAGGATCTGCCTCTAAGCAACTGTTCGGTGACACAACATCACTTGAAGTAACCCTTTTTAAGATCATGAAGACCTCCTGGGAAGATCTCAATCTGCAGAACATTGTCCTTCCTGATATCCCTACTTGCAACAGGAACGGAAGATCTTCTATCCTTCATTACTCAAATCCGTCAACTCAACAACCAGCCCAGGAGAATAAAAGGAATTACTAGAGCTAAACTTATCCATGGAGAAAGCATAGAGATGAAGAAAGGATGCGTCTTCCAGATACAAAGACCTGGAGCTGACCACCATGTCAGATGGATGGCTAAGTCCATATACATTATGAAAATGATTCTACTTCACTAGATACCACTTCACTGGACGAAGAAGAGAGACGTGCAGAAGATGGCTCACGTTGTTGTCTTCGTTTACTTAAGAGCTTGGTTCAACGCTCCTTTCCTTGAATCTGCAGCCTCCGCCGACACCCGTTTGTTACACTTACAGAGTCTTCAGAAGTACAAGAGTGTGGACAGAGTATTAGCCATCATCACGACAGTCCTCAAGACATACCTTTAGAGCGAAGAACTCTCCTTGCAGCAAGAATAGGCCAACAAACTCTTGAAGCAATTCAAGTTGGAACTTGAAAACTTGTGTTCGGTTGTTAATGTTATTGAGCTTTATGAACGTCAAATAAGCCTAATTGATGAAAAATTATTCTGATATGTTTTGGTTTTATGACCAGGGGTTATGACAAATATATAATAAGGATGTTGGTCTAGTTTCTCGTACGGGTTTTCAACATACGCTTTAGTCCTACACTCTAGTTTGGGGTTGGATTTTAAATAGTCACTTGAAGTACGTGTTAAAGTATCCTACGTGTTGGTCGAGTGTTGAGTGATTAAACATCTTGATCGCATGTTTATTGTTTACTGTTTAGTGTAGACCTTGTTCAGTAGAAACTCAGTACGGTGGTCCGCGGTAAATTTCATTCTTTATTATACGAAAATGCATGACCTGCATGAGGTATGTTACCTGGGGACCCCAGGCTATAATGTTCCGCCGAATAGAGATTCGGCGGAATGACAGACTAAGCGCCGCCCAGTAAGAGGTATGATAATACTGGGTTTCGAAATCTTTTAAATATCTATTCGATTGAGTCTTATTAGTATTACCTGGGGACCCCGTTTTAAATTCTCATAAACGTATCAATTGAATATATTTACTAAAACTCAAGTCTCATATTAAAGTATTAATATGACAACTGTGTTTAAGAACACAAAGCCCGGGGTCCCCGGGTAAATTTAAAGCTAGGAATCATTATATTTATAAGTGAATTGTGTATTTGGTACTGGCCATAGCACTCCCGTCAATCTATTTGTCATGTCAATAGTTTACTGTTTACGAATGAGTCCATCATGTACTGTTCTCTTTGATGTATGTAATCAAATTATTAGATTATTAAAGTTAACATTTTGTGAAATGTCAATCACTTTATTATATTTACCTCAACCTGTAGACCTCTGGCTTTTAACACAACTGATATACCATATATAATATATGGTGGAACTACATCGGTCGCGTTTTTGTGTGGAATGCTAGGCGAGTTGTTATGTGATCATATTCATTAATTAATAATAGTTATATAATCATGAAACCTTTGATCCGTCAAAGTTCGGAATTGCAATTGACCAAAGGACATGAGGAGAACCTTCATGAAGTATCACGCTACTGCACCTAGAACTTACATTTCTCTTGTTGCCACTGTCACGTACTTCTTCAAAAACGTATGAACGGTCTTCAGATATGAGATTATTACATTACAAAACATATATTTTGCGCGCTCAGCATTCCACGCGCAAAAACGCGCCCGTTTAGAGAGACTTGCGCGTATTAGAGGGTTCAGTCTCACCAGGCTATGTTAATGAACATAATAGCCTGGGGTCCTCAGGTAAAACTTAATAATAATTTTAAAAGTAAAACAAATTTTGTAGTGTGAAAAATTTCACGTTCTAAAAAACAATAGCTAGTAGTACAAAATTTTTGATTTAAATGACATACTACGATACACTTGGCATATTTGCTAATGTTCCCCAAGGCATAATTTGTTGTAGCGCGATGCACTACTGGGTCGCGCCGCGCATTTTCTCGCAACCACGTATGCAGATCGGCGAGATGCGAAGGATTGATTACCTGAGGACCCCAGGCTATTATGTTCATTAACATAATAACCGAATAAAGATTTGGCGGAATGACAGGCTGAGCGCGGCCCAGTAAAGGATTGACATCGTGAATCAACCTACTTTGCTAATCAATTAAACCATGTTTGGCCAGTTAAGTTCGTGCAAGTGTGATATTTATTAAAGTTACGCTTTACTCCACTTTTATTATTATTTGAACTCGCGTTATTATTTGAACTCGCGTTCAGTACTACAGGAAAATTGGCGTTTGTTTTCGGATTTGTAGCGCGATGCACTACTGGGTCGCGCGCGCATCCAATAATGCTTCTCGCAACCACAGCGAAGCAGATCGGCGAGATGCGAAGGATTGACATCGTCAATCAAGCGTTGGATGTGTTTCGATTCTTGTTACTGGGCCGCGCTCAGCCGGCCTGTCATTCCGCCTAATCTCTATGTTTATGAACATGATAGCCTGAGGAGTGAGGTCCCCAGGTAAGATTCTTGAAGCATCTTCTCAGAGCAACGATCTGGAGGGGTTGGCATAATATCAAACAAACTGCAAACGCAGACTGCGATATGATCTGCTCCGAACTTGTATAATATCTATCAGAGGTTGCAAAGTTGCCAAAACCCTGCAACCTACAGCAATAATTGATTTGAATCTTAACCTGATCAAAACTCCTAGATCATACACATTCAGGGAGTGTTTGTTTGGTAAAGGCCTGGATTGTTTGTTGTCATGATATTGGATGTAAAGTGTTCCTTCCCCAATTTTTGGAATTTTTATTTTCAATGAGATCATTATAATCATTAGTACAAAGCCCATAATCTACCACCAGCCCTCCAGGAGATAATATTCACCTTCAAGTTGCATTTTATATCCTTGTATTACATTAATTTTAAGGATGGCGCTAAAAGGGGAGGGGCACCAATAAAGGGGGGGGGGGGGGGGGGGTCAACATGCAACGTTATGCCACCGAATACTTGTATTTTGATTTATCAGAGCTCACATCGCAGCTCGACAATCGAGCTGTATTCCATAGCAATACGACACAATACATGCATATTAGTGGCTAGGATCCGAATGAGTGGTCATAAGCTAAACGTAGAAACTGGAAGATATGGGAGCAGAACTAAAAGTCGACATCACAGAATATGTGAATTCTGACGCAAAAAGTCTGAGATGGAGCTCCTCCTTAATCTTCCAGGTGTTGACCCGATAATAGAAGATGAAGAACACTTCCTTAGAACATGTCCCAGGTACCATTCCAGTAGGACTAACATAAAGGAGCCCATAAAGTCTTTGTTATTTCATGACATGAAGAATTACCTCTTTTACCGGAGCACATAGTGGAATTCACAAAGTTCGTTGCTCAGCCATGCAGAACACGATTTCCTACAAAAAACACAAACATTAATGTCACAGTTCGAGACATCACCATTCCTCTGCAGCCCCTTCATTTGCACTCTACATTTGCACTCCACTCCACCACAATCACATCTTCGACTCCTTTACCACACCCACACGGACATATCTCAAGCATCATCATTCTTCACACTTCACTTTGTTTTTCTGTAAGGGTTTGCCTGCTTTTCTATCTCTTTGTTAGCTATTAGCTTGAACGATAAGCACTTGCCTTTAGAACGACAGCATGACTTTCTCTTTAATGATAACAGATTTTCTACTTGGGTTTCGGACTATGACTTTTTAGAACCGTTGGGTCTTACATCTCCGCCGTGTTTTATATTTGAGAGTTGTTGCTTTGCAGATGGCAAACTCATTACTCAGTGGCGTAATGAAGGGCCCCTACTGACCCCGCTATCTTAAATTGTTGTTTGATTGTGGGACAATTTTGAAAAACTTAACTGAGGTACTAGCAAAACTGCGCGTTTTGCTCTAGAAACACATTTTTAAGAGATTTTACCAGTGTATCCTCTAAAATCACCTAATTTGTCTAATTTTAGGAAGGGGCGCCAAAAGGGGAGGGGGTGCCAACAGGGGGGCACTTTTTCGGCTGGGGTCCCAACAGGCAACGTTACGCCACTGGGCATACTGTACCTACTTGTTCGAGGATTCCGTAGCAAAAATTTGAAAATTCGAATATTTTAGACCACGCCCATTCAATATTAAAACATTTTTTTCTCTGAACATGCTGGACGCCTAATTTTTTTCAGAGACGGTAGATTATTAAATTTTGCATCTGATCTGAAAAAAAGATGTGAACCAGATTTGAAATGACGAAGTTATCAAGCATTTTGTGTATCTCGTTAACAAAATTGACTGGCTGATTATGTGACACCGTGACACGACACCTTAAATATTAATTGGGCATCCTTAACGATTCCCATAATGTTTAACGGGGTCACCTTCTCACGTGATTAGGTAAGCCAATCACCTGATCACACTTAATGAATTAACTCGTTATGCTTCATATCTCAACCATCTGAGAAGCTACAACTTTTTAGTACAAAAGTAATAGCCAAACACAATCCAAAAAATTTGGCTCGATCCAAGTATCCAAACTATCAAATAAATTCGAAAATGAACCTTCATTTGTAAAAAATTAACACAAATATTTTTTAAGTTGACAAATTCCTCGAACCAGTGGTGGTAGTAAGTCATACCAGAAAGAATTATTTCAATGGTGCACTCAGTGACTGAGCTATTAAGGCCAACGTTAGGGTACTGACTTTTGGCCCACCCTGTAGATCTATTTTTTGTAAACCTTGTAAACCTTGTAAACCTTGTAAACCTTGTAAACCTTGTAAACCTTGTATGGATGATTGTTTTTGTATCAATCTTAAAAGTCTTGTCATACAGATTTTCTATATTTCCAGTTCAAGCAAATGATGGCATGTGTTCTCATTTCACTGATGTGCATTTAGATCTCATGTGTCAAAATGCTCCTTCTACTCCAGTGAAAGGTTGGGATCATTTATTTCCACATTACAAGGTTAGACATGCATTTAAATTCATTACATTAGCCAACTACGGCTTCATATCAAACTAGTCATACAATTTTCATTCGATTTCATGTATTTTTGCATACCTTAAATTTTCTTTATCTAGATTTGTGGAAACTGCAACAATAGCATGGTGCTGTGCAGGGCACCTGTGAGACCCCGCCCCCTTGGGATGCTCAGATGTGGCAAATTTAGTGGAAAACGATCACTACCACCTTTGCGCTGTGAGTAGCCCAATCCGTACCTTATTATAACCAAGCATAAAATCGAAACTCATTAGGTTCTCATTGTTATAGAACACCAGGTCGAGCATTATCTCATATTGTGATCACTGTTCAGTTCCCACTAAGGCACATTCGTTAAGTGATTGACGTGACATGTGTGAAATATTGTGCATTTGTGTGACGTCATGCAAATATGTAAACACATTGACTCTACCTGAAGAGAGAGAGGTTAATTGATTTGAGAACATGTTATAAACTGGATGGTCAATATTACAATCATGCATAAAATATTCAGAATATTTTTGCATGCAATTTGTATAGACCTTACCTCGTGATCTGAATATCAATCACTGGAACACCTATATCATTGAATTGGAACTTGAGCTATCAATCATAAGAATCTCTATCAAATATCAATCTTTAAGATGTTTCCAATGGGAGTTGTCGCGTTGCACAGAGGAATTTGTGAAGCAACTGATCACAATGTGTTCAAATTAGGTGGACACAAGTTTAGGTGAGGTCTCATTCATTGTCTTATCCTCGTTCGACGTTCGTTTTGTTGCACGCACATCATGTTTTTTGACCGTAGTCACTTCCTATAGAATAAAAACTCCTACTTGGGTGGGTGTCGTCACATAACAGGTGTAGTCACATAACAGGTGTAGTCAAACAACTTGTGGAGTCACACAACGGGTCATTGTGGTCAATGTTTCCTATCTCTAATTGGTAACTTTATGAAGGGAACAAAGAATATGAATGTGTTCCCGTCCCTGGTATTTGATCCACCCCCT